TTCACCCTTCAATACCTGCTCTGTGATGATGGTGGGATTCTCTTCAGCATTTTCCTTTACAGGAGCCTGAGTGAAGCTTCCTCAGCAGAGGGCACTGGAAGGACATCGAAGAGGAAGAGGCCCTTTGGTGACCCTGGCAGTGGCCCTGTTGGGCAGGGTAGCTGTGTAGGTGGCCCCAAGAGGCTGGTTGGCTCTTGAGGCCCTGTGCCCTCTAGGGGCTCAGCCTCTGTGTCTGATACTGGCAGGTTGGGCATCCAGCAGTAGCAGTAGCTGGATCAATGTTGGTTGCAGGAGGTGGAGCCGATGGGCCTGGAGTGGCCTCCATCCCAGCCACCATGGCTGCTCATTCATGACCCCATTGCCAGCTGCCTCCTGCTAGCTGAGTCCTTCTTCCAAGTTGGCTGCTCAGTGGCTCCTCTGTGCAGGTGCTCTCTGGTAAACATCATATGTCAGACAGCTCTTCACTTAGACTTGACGTCCACTCCATGGGCCCACGAGACCTCCTTGACTCTGAGCTTCCAATCTTTTACCCTCCAGGCCCCTGACCACCCAGCCAAACCATTTGTGTACATAGTGACGGGGACATGTTCTGGGAACTGTGTCATTAGGTGACCCCACTGCTGTGCAAACATCACAGGGTGAACTTGCACAAACCTGGACAGCACAGCCTCCTGCACACCCAGCTGTATGGGGGAGCCTGTTGCTCCCAGGCTGCTCACCTGTACAGTGCACCACTGTCCTGAACACTGCAGGCAACCGTAACACAGTGAGCATTTATGTATCTAAACAGAAAAAGTATAGTTAAAATACAGTGCCATAATCTTATGGACCAACATCGTTGGTCTGTTGTTAACTGAAACATCGTTACGTGGCTCCTGCCTGTATATTCTAACCCTGGTCCATTTCTCTTTCCACACAAAGTGGATGGCCAGGTTCATTGCCGAAAGATCTGCCCACAGAGCAGGTCTCTCCTCACCACTGCCTGTCAGGGATACCCCCAGAGGGCTGTTGTATGGCCCCAGTCCATCTCCTCAGCATCCATGTCCACACACTCAGACTGTGACCCATCTGCGAGTGGAGCTCAGCTTCTCTCCCCCTCCGTCAGCTCCTTGTGGCCCAACATAGCAGGGGCGTCCGTGGAGAGTGGTGCCACCATGGAGAGTCACAGTGAGTGGAGGGTGGCAGGTGCCACTGTGGAGGGTGACACTTAGTGGAGGGTGGCGGGTACCACCATGGAGAGTCACAGTGAGTGGAGGGTGGTGTGGTGCCATTGTGGAGGATCACATGGGGCCCAGGCCACCTGCCTGTGTGACTTGTCTTCTTCTTCCATCCTGCCCTTGGCCAACACCGATGCCTGTTTCCATCTTACCGAGGGTTGTTAATGGGCCTATTCGGCTTCCACAGTGATGGCTTGAGCACCATGGGGGGTTGGCGGCCCCAGCTCCCAATGGACACCTCCGACTGGCGGGTCACTTGGAGTCCTTTGGGCTCCATCAGGGCCTGTCCCACCTCAGGACCAGCGTTTCTCTCTGCTGTGAGTGGCATGGCCGTACCTCAGAACTCGCAGCTCTGCCCCTGGGCTTCTCCCGCTGGGGCCTTGTTGCCCATGAGAGACACCCCTCTCCCTGCAGAGCCTGCCTGGCTGTTCAACCCAGACATCAGGCTGCCTGCTCTGCAGACAGAGCTGGTCCTCCCGCACTGGAGGCCGGCAGCCTTCAGTGTCACCTTGTGTGGGTCAGAGCCATGTTCCCCGGTATGGGTTCTGCTGCCTCCAGAACCCGGAGAGGCCATGGGGCATGGTGCTTGCTTCCTGGCAGGAACCTCTCCACCAGCCTGGCCCTTCAGTGGCATTCTGGGAAGCGGGCTTGAGATGAGGAGACCACACAGGACCCTGCTTAGGGAGGCTCTTGGGATTCACATATGTCAAGGCGCAAAGAAGCAGGAGTGGCCGAGGGGAAACCGGGCGGTGATGGGTCCGGGCGTGAGGACTCGAGCCATTTCATCCAGAGCCTGGAGTTGGGGTGGCTCTGCAGAGAGACCCCACTGGGACAGAGTGCCATCATACCCCTCGTCCAGTCCTCGTTGGATGTGGGAGAGGACTGATCTTGGGCCAGGTGGCTATCTGAGGCCGAGGTCAGCCTCCAAGTGGGGTCTCAGCCAGGGCCGCCAGCCTCCTCTTAGTCTTCCCAGC